AGTGCAAACGTCAAAAAATCTTAAATTTCAACACCAAAATTTCCTCATTATTGTAAGAAGCCCTTAATTTTAATAAGTATCAGATTGTTCAATTAATTTATATAATTTAATAAAATTTTGACCATCTGATTGTATACAAATTGTGGTAATGTAATGTTTTAAAATTAATAAAGAGAAATAATTGTGTACAATTTGTTGACTTCGAACCAGGAAAACCGGAATCTTAGGAATCATGGTCAAGTCGATTTTTTTAAACTGACGATTTGCAAACCATTATGATTTTTTGTGCTGCGCAAATTCAATAATATGTCATCCATATACAGTACATATGTAGGTGCTCTCAAAATCATACATATGTAAATATTTTTAGCATAAAATGTGACATTCATCTACATATTTACTTTAGTCATAACTATCGCAAATTTATTTATGCAGGTAAATCTCCCAACTGACTTTCCACAAATATTCGCACAGCCTCCTCCTTCTTTGCGGGCACGTTTGCAATTCCTTTCGCTTTTTTAATCCTTTTTGACCATCGAGAATAGGACAGTTCCGCCAAGAACGCCAAAAAGGAGACGAACAATCCAAAAATTAGTGCAACAAATGGAATTTTAACATTTCCCAGATCAAACGGTTTAAGCGAACTGAGGGACGCGATAGAATTTTCAAACCCTTTCAACGCTTTGTAGAGATGATCCGTTTTATTCATATTGGCAACATTTGCCTTTCCTTTCAGCTTAAAATGGAATAAAGCTTCGGCTGTCCACTGTATAAGAAAGATAAGTGCAATCAATTAATTTCAAATATCAAAATGTTTAACCATAAAAAAAATTGCGACGTGGGAGCGTCCATATATTACGTCGGCAAAAAAGTGGGTTTTGGCGATTTTAAATCGTTAGTATTCCTCGTGATAGGCTTTCCATGAGCAGAATAGGGTAGATTGTCTACAAATCTGCATTTTTTGATGACGTAATATATGGAAGTCCCCCCACACAGGTTGGCATTAATCTGCCGCCTACCTTGTCGTGAATTCCGGTCGCATAGATTATTCCCGTCACCGGCATAAAAGCATCCACCAGTATGGAATCCTTGACAAAAGCCACACTCATCGGGACCAGCATGGCCACATCTGTCGAAGCCATGAAAGGTTCCAACCTCGTGTTTATCGTCAGTGCTCCATACGCCGCCGAACGGACGATTTTGTTCCACCCGAGTGGGTGCAAGTCGTCTTCCTGTTAAGGAAGGCTTTCATGGCACACTCCTCCGTATTCGGGATGTAAATCAGCCTTTTCGTAATCGCCTGAATGACCGGGTTCTCATTCTCCTGGAAAAATAGGACTTCCGGGACGCCAACGTTATTCAGGATGATTTGATACTCGGGATCGGCATGTAATTCGGCAAACGTTCTTGGGACCGAGAGGATCTTAGGGACGCTGAGGAAGGAGGCTAAATTGCATCGGTATCCAGTTCCCGTTACGATCGTTAAAATTAGCCAGAGACCAACGATTCCTCGGACGGAAAGTGGGACCTTTGAGAGGGCTTGCTCCATTGCGACCAAATATGGGACAGTGATCGCGTGGAAGGCTGCATCTCGCCAGGTGAAGATGATACCTGTTCAAAAAATTGTTTTCATTCAAATTGTTTTCAAATTCATTTCATTGGACTCAGTTTCACATCCTCCATGCGCTAAGCCTTTGAATGAAAATTAAAGAAGATACTATCGATTTATTTACGGTCACTCGTCCGAAATGATATAATCCTTCAATCATTTCGAATAGGAATTCATACTTATTCATTTCCATAATCAGTCAAATGAAGTAAAGTCAATGGCATTGTTTAGATAGAAATGTACCTTCGTCATTCTCAGTCCACGGTTTCGGAACGAGGAGACAAAACACGGTCGTACTTATGGCGAAGTACACCCCGATAACGCCGATCCAAACGTCCCTCTGATACGGGAGGAGGAAACTTTCCGAATTAGACTCCATTTTCGCATGTCCCGAGAAAAACATTAAATGTGCGGGATCAATTGTTGAGGCATAGTCGACAATAACATTCAGCCCGTAGATCTGTCCTAAATAAATGGAATTCGTGTAGCCTCTCTCGGTGTAGAAGAGGTCGCCCGTCTGCCCGCCCCACGTTCCGTTCGGATACCGCATCGCGTACTCTTTGCCGGGAGGAGCGTCGAGGTCAAACGTGAAGTTGAACTTGGCCGCGGCTTCGACAAAGATTCGGTAATTTGAGCCGTCATGTTGTAAACCTTGGGGCGATTCGGGATCCGAAACACGATACAGCCAGGTGGGTAACAGACTTCCGGTTATTTTGAGATGGCGCCCCCTAAAATTTCGGCACATGAGCGGTCCAATTTTTATGATTTGGGAGAAATCCACATCTTTTAAGGGAACAGGGATATTCACCATTTCGCCCGTAGGGCTATGAATGAGGGGGTCAAGTAAGAGATGATGAGGCAAAGTGAGACGAGGTGGGATGGTTAATCCGACCTTGTCTTTTAAACCCTTGATAACGTTTCTTCTGAAGAATTGTGGGAGTTTTGGCTCAGTTCCAATAAATATGAAACGATCCCTACGATTGTTCCCGTTCGTTTGGATAAATTCTTCCATTTCTTGGGGGGCATTCAACACTGCGAGGAATATGAAAGAGTGGAAATTTCGGTGTTTCGAGCGGATTTCTTTCCCAAAGTTTCCCATAATGACGGGAAAGAGAAAGCAGTCACTTTCTTGGATCAGAGCTGGGAGAAATTCCTTCATGGAATACGATGCTTTCGATGGTGTGTTTAAGTTCCTGTCATTTCCGATGTACAGCCAGACAGTTTTTAAACCATAGGTGTGGACTGATACTTGATTTTGGAGCAGCTTAGAAATAATGCCGATTCCATTTTTCGGAATGCTTAACGAAGTCGTTTGTACAATGGGAAAAGTGAGAAAAAGAAGGAATGGAACCAGTGGGGCCAACATAATTGAAAGAAAGAGAAAGTTATTGGATGGGAGATGAGTTTAAGGACTGAAGTCTAAAATATAGACTGAGCTGTGTACTGGCTCCGGTTAGCTATTTATATGTGTCAAAGGGTTTCGTATTTTGTGATACCAATTTGAAAACAGGGGATGCATTAACCTTCTCAAATTAATAGTATCATGTAACATTATCCCCAAAAATTTTCAGAATTACTAAATTCACAGGCTTTGCATTCCGAAAGCACATAACATGGAATTTTATCATTTTGCTCTGCTACATTTGTCAATATTCATCTAAATACGTACTTATCATGCATTTAGTGAATCATTATAAATGAATGATTTTCAACGGCTCGCCAAAATTTGGGACGAATGCGTGAAATTGTCCTCATGTTAGATGCACAATTATCGCTTTCCTTTAATATCATTCCATATTTATTATTTGTTTAAACAAAGCAAAACGTATTTAATTTAGTTAACTGGAGAAAAAGTGAATAAATTAACAAAAAATCATAAATTGTAATATTACAATTTGTGTTTACCAGTACTCTGAGATATTTCTCCGAAACCCTGTCGTGACCGGAAACCTTTACCCTTCGCATGCAAAAGTTACCTTGATTATTAAAGGATTTGCAGCTACTCCAATTATCTAATTTTTTACCTGCATATGTACACATTTTCTTCCCATGTATTTAAATAAGCTTATTCGTGTATCACTTATCTGTGGAATGGAATGCACCCGGCTTGACGGGGATATTCCCACGGGAGGAGAAAACTGCAGAGCGAAATGTGTCTTTTGTTAGATGACGGGCGAGTTAAGCACTCGCCTGTCACACGCTCGGGTTTATCGCATAATAAAAATCCCTCGGGTAATTTTGTAACAGAGTCAAACGTGTAGATGCATCTCATAATTGACACATGGGGAAAGATATGCGTGAGGTTCCGTACATACACTCTTAGAAAACTGGTATTAAATCATTACCGATCGGAGTACATATGTGACTCTACCAGCACTGGTATTAACGGGAATCACCATTTAGTAATGTGGCGGCAATGAAAAATTTACCACTCAGGAACAATTTATTACCAATCCGGTAGGAAATTATTACCAGCCCCGAGTAGCTGCGTTACTCTAACAGATTTTTAACAGTGTATGCATGCACGTACATCAAGCAATCACCTTTAATTATCTACATACATGACTGCATGTCTCTTGTTAATTGCCACACTCAAGGAATTCTGGTGACAGATGTGTTCTAAATTGTACCCTCTTTATCGTCAAAAGGGTAAAAATGATAAAAAGGTAAAAGTGGCAAGAACGTATAAACTCATGATTTGTTGATTTACGCTGTGGTAAAGCGAAACAAACTTTTTTTTATCACGATATTAGCAAGAAGTAAAAGTAGTAAAAAGTAAAAACGGTTACAACGTAGAAATTATGTATAAACTAATAATTTATTGATTTACGCTGCGGCAAAGTTAAACTGGTGCTTGCACTTTTTGCTACAAATTGTACTGCGTGTGTAGAAACCCTTACCTCTACCCAAGATAAGTCTCTATTCTTAAATGTGTTACTGGCAGTGATTACCGAACTAACTGGCGTGAATTAATAGGACGAATCAAACCTCAATGTTAAATGAATTAACTAGACGATTTATTAATATCATCACACTTTAGTTAGTTAAATATGACCGAGGGGAATTATAACTTTACTTTAAGCTTTAATTACTTTAGAATACTTAAAAATGTCGGCTCTCTCGCTCGACGAAACTTAACGAACTTACTTGAAAGACTCAAGAAACTCAACTGACAAAACTACAAAGACAATGGATGGGAGGGACTTCCTGAGAGGGACGTTCGAATGTAAAGGGAAATATGAGACTACTACTACAAATATCTGACATCTCCTCCCACCTGAATTTGACTAAATTCATAACTACCTTATTCATAACTTACTTAATCTTACATATAGAAATGAATTCAAGAAAGAAACAACAAATAATATTATAACATGTAATCGCATAACTTTCACTCATCGCTGCACTTTCCATATCGATGAGGCTTCTTGACTTCTCTTCCTTTCTTGGTTCGCACGACGGCTTCTATCTTCTCTTTTGACTTCTGTTCTTCTTTCTTGGCGTCTTGACTTAACTCTGGAAATGCTGTAACTGGATCGCTGATTTCCAACGAGTACAACCGCTGCAGTGGTCGAACGAAGATTCCTGTACGAGTCCTGCCTCGGGCAACTCGAACTTTGTCATCCTTCCCTGCCATAAGCTCAATAATCCTTCCTAAGGGCCATTCGACACGCTTCTTGTTGTCACTCCCGACAAGAACCAACTCGTTGATCTTGAATTGTCTTGATCCCTTCTCGCTTCCACGCTGGACGAGTTGGCTGAGGTATTCTTTTCTAAACCTCTCTCGAAGCTGTCCCCTTAAAACTTGCATGTCTTGATTTTTCTTCCTTAAAATGTCCCCATCCAATAATCCGAGCTCGGGATAACTCGTGTCTTGGACATCCTGAATAAACATTGCAGGAGTAATGGGAATTAAATCCATCGGATCTTCTGTAACAAATGTGAGCGGCCGTCCATTCACCGTTGCTTCTACGGAACAAAGACAAGACGACAACTGCTCAAAATTCAATCTTGCATTCCCGAGCATCCTCTTGATAAGGTCTTTGACCGTCTTGACGAGCCGCTCCCACCATCCTCCCCACCAAGGCGACGATGGCGGATTAAAAATCCACTTGATTCGTTTCGTCTCAGTTTCTTTCTCAACCTGAGACCAGTCAATATTCTTGAATAAATTTACAGCTCCAACAAAGTTGGTACCATTGTCGCTGTAAATCACGGATGGGCGCCCTCTCCTTGCGATGAAGCGATCCAGCGTCATGATGAACGCCTCCGTCGACAAAGAGTTGACAACTTCCAGGTGGACACATCGATACACCGCACACGTAAAGAGACAAAACCAAACTTTACTCTTGTCCTTTAAGTAGAGGGGGCCGGCGTAATCGACTCCGATAACTTCAAATACTTTCCCCATCTTCACTCTGTTGTCTGGAAGTTGTCCTCGTGGCACCGTTGGCTCCTTGGCACTAAATCGCCTGCATCTTACGCATGACGAGATCACTTTCTTAATTGCTTGTCTCCCTTGGAGAATCCAATATTCTTCTCTTAATTTTCCCATGAGGAATTGGGCTCCAGCATGAGAATTCTCCAAGTGAGATTCTCGAATCAGCATTTCTACAGCTGGATGAGACTTCGGTAACAGCATTGGTCTTCGGAATCCTTCCGGTTCTTGACAGTGGAATAATTTGGTCACCACTCGGATGATTCCATCTTCGTCCACCACAGTTTCCATTCCACCGATAGGATTTACTCCACCGAAGACTTCTTTTTGTATCATCTTTATAATGCATTTCTCAGCATTGTTGATCTCTTCAATTTGAAGTGGACCACTGAGTCTTGCTTGTGAAGATGTCCTTGCATTCTCCACGAATCTTCTTCTCCATCCGATGACCCGAACATTCTTCTTAAAACTTGAGAATCGCTTCAAATACCACGACTCTGCTACTTGACTTGAAGTGGTCATCTGGGTCTTAGTTGCTTTCTTTTCTGCAGCAACTTCTGCTTCATTCTGGTCAACTTCTCGGGTTGGCCACTTATCTTCTTCTTCTTTTAGCCAGTCGGGTCCCTCCCACCATTTCGATTCCAGAAGCTCTCGTGAGTCGCATCCTCTGGAAGGGAGGTCCGCTGGGTTCAGGACACCGGGAACGTGTCTCCAATTCTCAGCACTTGTCAACTTCAGGATACTTCGTACTCGATTCCCCACGAAGGTACCCCAATCATCATTTCGCTGGATCCACGCCAACGCGGTTGTGGAATCCGTCCAGAAAGTGGTGGTCACACCGTCCAGTGATAAAGCGTCGGCGACGGACTTCATCATACGAGCCGCAATTGTGCATCCCAGCAACTCCAATCTTGGGATCGTCATCTTCTTAAGTGGTGCGACTCGGGACTTGGCTTGGAGGAGGTGGACTTGGACCTTCTCTCCAATTCGTACATACACGACACTGGCGCATGCTACTTGGCTAGCATCACAAAAAACATGAAATTGTAAATCTTCGAGCAGACTTGCTGAAAGTAATGCCCATCTTGGTATCTTTATCTTTGCCAAACACTGAATTTCTTCACACCAGCTCGTAAACTTCTGTTGCATTTCTTGAGGCAACTCCTTATCCCATTCTAATTTCTGCGCCCAGGCGTCTTGCAGTAGAATCTTCGGCTGTAGGGTGGCTGGACTTGTGAAGCCAATTGGGTCATAAATCTTTGGAACTCTTGACAAGATTTCCCTCTTGGTCAACTTATCTGGCAAATCTGCATTCTTTATCTTGCAGGTTAAGGTATCCTCTTCTTTATCCCACACGAGACCCAAAACCATTGTTGTGGTTTTGAAACTTGAATCCTTTGGAGCACCATCACTGTCGCCATCCAATCCGCAGTAAGGGTTGAACTCGATTCCGGATGTCCCCACAGCGGTGTGCTTCCATTGACGCAAATCCTTTTTCGCGTCCTTGAGGATCTCGGTGGACAAAGTCTTGAAATTCTCATATTCTTTAAAAGTGTCCAATGACGTCACACAGTTGTCGACATAAAGAGACCCCAACAATTTACTTGATAATGGCTGGAGATCTTCTTTCACCGATTTGAGGTGTTTTTCCAGCACGGCAGCCAGGATGAACGGGCTGCAATTAACTCCAAACACAACCCGCTTATGCCTTAATTCTTTTAACTTTTCTTGAGTCGCGTCCTCCCACCATAGGAAACGGAGGAAGTCGCGATCTTCTTCTTTAACTTCAATCATCTGGAACGCTTTTCTGATGTCGGATACTGCACCGATCTTCTTTTCCCGGAATCGAAGCAAGATGGAGGGAATTAATTCCATCAGGTTCGGTCCTTTCTCCAGACTTTCATTCAATGATGGTGCTCGTCCCGTCTTACACGATGCATCAAAGACGGGGCGGACCGGCGTGGTCAAACTGTCCGGTTTGAACACCGGCCGATGAGGAAGGTAATAACACTTATTCTTCTTATTTGTATCTGAAACTTCTTAAATAAATCCTTCCTTCATCCAGTCACTCATTATTGAATCATATAACTTGAAATTACTTGCACTTAATTTATTGGTAGCATTCACCAATCTCTTCTCAGCCGTGGTCTTGTTATTCGGGATTTCTTGCCCAGTCCCCAGCCACGGTAATGACACGACATAACGTCCGTCCTCTTTTCTTGAAATGGTCTTAATAAAGCTTTCTTTAGCTTCTCGATCATTTTCTTCTTTCGTCTTAGTTTCAGCTGGATCTCGAATTCCAATCGTTTCAAGATCCCATAAATCAGCTACACTTGCTTGGCTTGCTTTTCTTGAAAGTGGGCCGCTCAAAGTCCATCCAAACTTGGTCTTGACTGCATTTAAGTCTTGAAATACTTGTAACGGCTTGCTTGTCACCAGCTTCCCCCAGTAGTCGCTTCCGACAAGTATCTCGACATCAGTTGACTCGAGAGAACGCTGCTCCAGGTCACTGATCCAAATCTTCTTCTTTTTGAGCTCTTGCACCCATGGTCCGTGTGGTATTCGAGGGAGCGTGCCACAAATTACGGGGGTTTCATTTAAGACTAACTTCTCGCTGAATTTCCCGTCTAAACTTTCCAACTTCACTTCAAACTTCTTCACTTTCTTCGCTTGAGTGACGTCACCTCCGAACAGAACACTACGGGACCACTCTTCGCCAACTTGCCGACTTCCGATCTTGTTCACTGTTGCACTTCCTATATTGCTGAGTTGACTTCCTTCGTCGAACAGCAGCCTGACTAAACTTGACCCCTTTGGACCAATGGCTCGAACAACGACCGTTTTCAACAAAACATCTCCTCGGCAAGTATGGTTGGAGTTATTTGCTGTCGTGTTAACAGCATGCTCCTCTTCATGTACTTCTTCATTTCGAATTCTTCTTTGATTCGATGGTAGCTCTGCACACATTGACTTAACGTGAGGTCCATTACAAATCGCACACTTAATTTTCACCTTGCACGAGTCCTTACGATGACCGGAAGTGAAGCACCGGAAGCACAGACGACCTTCACGCAGCACTTTACTTTTCTCTTCCCATGTCATCTTCTCGGCACGGTAGCAATCTCTGCCCATATGGTTGGTCTTCTTACAGAATGGACAGGGAATCTTCTTATCTTGACCACTAAAAAGACCAGCAGTGGTACACATACCTTCTTCTGTCTCCTTCGCTTCTTTGGCGTGAGACTTCTTATTCTCTTCTTTCTTACTGGGATTTTCAGCCGGTTTCGGGGGACACATTCTGCATGCTATCTTCACCCGGGCTTCAACCCATTCTGCAAAATCTTCAAGTGTTGATTTATGGGTAAGAGCAACGACTGACTCCTCCCAACTGATCCTAAAATGTGAGGGTAACTTCTCCACCAGCTCATGTGTCAATACTGGATTCCTCAGATGCTCCAGCTCGCCCAAATTCTTAATTGTTGCAACTAAATTTACAACAGTTGTCCCAAAATCGATCATTGTTTGTGGCTTTTCTTCTTTTACTGAAGGGACTACTTTTGCTTTCGCCACCATTGACCTTATGATGACTTCTGACTGACCAAACTTCTCCTCCAGAATTTGCAGGACTTTGGGGAGGGACTGCGGCGAGACGAGAAGACACTCGACACTCTTGGCTGCATCTCCTCTCAGGCACTTTCGGATCCGCTCCACATTCTCAGCGTCCGTAAACCCACAGGATGAAGTCGTCCTCTTAAACGTGGCGATGAAAGAAGGCCACTCTTCAGGTCTTCCACTGAAAAGCGGCAAGTCTCGTCCAATCGACTGTCGAACGAGCAGCTTATCTGTTAATGACTGGGATGGCTGATTATTTCTTAAAACTTTCATTAATGCTTGATTCTGAGTTTGTAACGACTGCACAATAGAATCCATAGCGGAAGTGGGATTAGAAATAAACTCACTTTTTGCATGAGAATATCCGTCTTTAATGGTCGGCGCACTCACACCACACCCACTTTTCCAATCTTGAAACTCTTTTCTTAATTTTCTCATTTCTTCCTCTTCAGGATCACTTAATTCTTCATCTGAGCCGAGATATTGTTCTTCTTGCTCATCAATTTCTGCAAGAATGACATCTACTTCAACTGCTAAATTCTTCTATTCAATTGCAATAACCTCGATTCGCTTTGTTGCTCGAATCTTAGCCAACTTCGCCTTACTTTTCTTATCAGCCAATTCATAGCTAGTTCTAGCAATTTCTTGGTGTAACTTAACAAGTTCTTCTGGGTTGTGGAGGGGATGAGTCGGCTCACAAATGTCCGCCTTCCTCTTTACTTCTTCTTCAAACGACTCGATCTCACATTGAGTAATCTGCATTGACTCTTGCAGATCAATAACTTCCTTGTCCAAGATTGCAATCTTCTTTTGCAACTCGGCCTTCGCTTGCGCCCTTCGCCGAGCGTAACTTGATAACGTGGACGGAACTGGAGACTTCTTTGCTCCAAACGGCCACATTCTTGAGAGGAACGACGCTCCTTCCTTATTCGGACTGGTCGACGGCTGAACTTCTCTGTCCTGGTCGTCGGAGTTGTTAGGTATATGTATGCCTACGTAGATATGTATATGTCATTAGTTATGAATCTGTACATCACTCCATCTTTAACTCTCCACTAATAAATACTCTCCTCTGTCTCTTCTCACTGTTTACCACTTATTTATGTATAATCATATATACATAACAGAGTCCACTTCTTCTTCTTGTAGAGTCGTCGTCTTCTTTCCTCCTTTGCTCCAAGCTGGAGTGTAGCGCTCAGGTTCTCGCCTTGTTCGATCGCCACGGCGCCCACCCACTGGAGTTTTCTGCTCGCTGCTCATCTTGTAGGGAACCAGCAAACAACAAACTACTAGACTTATCCAGATACTTTAAAAACTGGACCGATATCACCTGGTAGCGCTGAACTTTGGGAAGATACCCTGGGCTTCAGCAAACCACTTTCACGGACTTATATTTTCTCCTCCGGTCAAGGCCTTGGGATGGTAATCACTCCAGTGATCACGTCGAGGTCACCAAAAATGTAGAAACCCTTACCTCTACCCGAGATAAGTCTCTATTCTTAAATGTGTTACTGGCAGTGATTACCGAACTAACTGGCGTGAATTAATAGGACGAATCAAACCTCAATGTTAAATGAATTAACTAGACGATTTATTAATATCATCACACTTTAGTTAGTTAAATATGACCGAGGGGAATTATAACTTTACTTTAAGCTTTAATTACTTTAGAATACTTAAAAATGTCGGCTCTCTCGCTCGACGAAACTTAACGAACTTACTTGAAAGACTCAAGAAACTCAACTGACAAAACTACAAAGACAATGGATGGGAGGGACTTCCTGAGAGGGACGTTCGAATGTAAAGGGAAATATGAGACTACTACTACAAATATCTGACAGCGTGTCTTAAAAAATTCTGCAAATTGGTTTTTGCCATGTCTTAACACTTTGTACGATTTTATCATTTTTATGGTCGGAGTTAAATACTGGTAAATACCAGTATTTTTCCGTGGTACGTGCATCAGTGCATGTTTCACTTCGTAAATACCACATTACACACTACATACTCGTAGATAGTACTGATATCAGTGCAACACAAATTCGCAATAATTCTTGTTTTGTCCACAGAAACGAAGCCTAAATTTTTAATAATGGGAACAGTTCGTCGTAAAAATGGAAATGTGTACCTCCTGATTAAACCGCTTCGTGTTTAACCTTCTTAATCCGTTAGTATGTATAAGCGCGTCATGCGTGTGCTATGCATAACATTGCTACACATACCAATTATTTAACAATTGGTTTCATGGTGCAATAGATTAGTTATACCGTAAATTAATTATAACTAATTAATCTGTAAGTAAAGTACTGCTTTATTGCGTTGTCAGTTATTAGGCATCTAAACTATGCTGGGCTTGTCTTTATTATTTGGTTAATTTATATAATTGTGCAGCCCTGACTGTAATTTGTGTAAAGTTAATCGTTTCAACTCAATAAAGAGATAATTAATTGGCTACCCATCGGAGTACTAATAAAAATATTAAGATTTTGTCAGCTTCGAAGCGACATAGGAAAACCTGAGTGTTTCCAGCTATTATTGAGCCGAATTTGCATAAATAAACTCTTTTTTCATTTTGTCCACTTTCTACGAGTTACGCATTACGTAAAAATGGCGACAAAATATTTATGCGTCGTAACGCATATTATTGTCTGATAGTTACATAAGTTACGAAATTATTAATTAACAATCCTTGAATATGCATATCTATTTGATAAATAAATCTGTACTTCGCATCCTGTGAATCGCAATATTGTGATTTTATATTGTCTGAATTTATCACTATTTAGTAATATGTAAATTCGGACATACCAACAATCTCCTATATATTTGTACTCTTGGATTATCTAAAATAATCATAAAGTTGATTAAATCAGTTCACGGGAACTGATGAATTAAGTAATTTGTCGTAAAATCGGGTGGGACCGAAAAGCATCCTCCATTCTAATTAATATTGCTGTTGCTAATAAACGTTATGAATATTATGGACGCTAGTAATTATGCATGTATTAAGTGGTTATACATATTTAAATTGATCCACGTGCATGTACAGCCAACAAATTATTATGTACTTACTTCCAAACTAAAAAATATGTACATACGTATTAGCAAAACTGACACGTCATGTATTTAGCAATTTTGGATCAATACACCAATAAGTTGCCCCGAATTAACCCGAATTTAAGTTATAAATTGTGTAGAATAAGCTAAATAAATACGTGAACGGTCTATTGTGTACGACCAATGTATTTATTTGGAAGAATTTGCCGCTTATGCAAATTAGTACACTTTTCAGTCTAACGTAATTATGATAATAATATATTTTGAAATGTTGCAAAAAGAACCCACGACCATATTTTCTTGCAAACTCTATAAACCATGGTTTCATGAAGACGTGTTAGGAAATTATTTTGAATTATGTCCATAATTCCCTATCTCATAATCAAATTCAAATTCTCTAGCTCATAATCTGGAAGACTTTGGTCAAAATTCTATAATTTTTACACATTTTGCATAGAACATAATCTTTCCGCTAATCAGATAACTTGACTTTGTTGACGGATTATTTTATTCCTAAATCATGCTTAGGCTTTCAGCATTTCTGAATTTTTTGACTCAATATTATTACTTGGAACTGGTCAATTTTGCCGAAATTTCCCCAGAATTTTCTCATTTACCAATTTTAAGAACGCACATAATTAATTATAAGACAGCTAATAAATCTTTTCAAGGATCTACCTTGAGAAAAATTCGAATTTACAATTCCACCCAAGTAATTAATTTAGACTTTAGCAAATTTTCAAACAACTTTTTGGATGCTCTAAATTCTCAAAATTTTCGGAACAATCCCACCTTTCGTATTTTTGTGTATTTGAATGATAACCTAACTTTAAACAATAACACTTTAGCTCCCACCGGCACTAATTATAATCTTATTATTTTGCTGAAAGTCAGTACCGATTCCGACCAAGTTTTGCAAACCTTTCAAATTTTAAACGATCTAAAATGGATTGAATTGTGTCGGGCAGAGAAATGCAGAAATTTTGACATAATTTTGAAAAATATAAATTACGAATTAAAACCAAAAATTGTTCCCGCTTCAATCCCTTCTTATACTGGGATCCCCGCCAGCTTTTACTTTTCAGCGGCGGGCAATTTGAATTCCGCGTTTAATGAGTTATGCAGTGATTCTGCCGAGACGTACCACGACATTCCGCACTTATTCGTAACTCTGCCCCCTGAAGTCTGTCTTCTTCTCGGATTCATGCAAAAAACTAATGTCACTGTCCAACTGATGGAAAAAATTAATGACGAAAACACCTCCGGTTTTATCAAACTTGTAAAATTAGACGATTCTGCACCTATCCCGCGTTCAATTAGTATTTACCCCTACGCGGAATCTCGCGATGCCCTGGAGTATGCCGTGTTCGTTAATAAATCCAGCATGGTTTTAAACTTGATGTTTCTCAAACCCTTCGACAATTTTGTGTGGACCACGTTTTTCTTGGCGGCGATTTCCGTATCGTTTCTGTTATGCTATTCCATTCAAAAAGGGTGGTCATATTTGGGCACAAGTATGGTTTGGACAATCGGCATCTTTCTGGGGCAAAGCAACAATAGATTTGAATCCCAAGTGAAGCGACATGTTGGCGGGCTTTTAATTGGCACATGGTCCTTGATGATGATCATTTTGTCGAATTGTTATACCGATTTGTTCTACGCGGTCTTAGTCGCTGGGATAAGGCCGGACGTGGCACCAAATTTGGCGGGAATTCTTAATCAAGCAGGAATTAGGGTGTATTCGTTTAAAAATCATCATCAGTCCTTAGGCATTGGGTTACTTGTGGGGAAAGTGTCAGCTTTGAGAGACACGGACGTTAAGGTCATCCGGGTTCCTGATCTGGCTTCGTTTGAAGACACGGTCCATTCGCTGGCTTACTTTGGACGGGTCAGTGGCCTAACATATCTTACTGTTCATGTTCATTTACTTGGCAGATAATGAATAAATTTTTCGTTCATTATTAACTAAATCCATGAATAATGAGTGAACATTTTTTATTTATTTTTGAATTAGTAAATATGGAAAGATATTTATCGTTTTCGTATGAATGAAGAATTAGTGAATAATTTTGATCATTATTAATTTTTCACGCTATGCCAAATGCATGGGGTATATTGAGAAATCCATCTAATAAACTGAATTTGAGATGACACGGAAAAAAATAAATAATAAACAAATACAGATTTTCAAACTTTGATTAAATGAATAATACATGAACATTGTTTTTAAATTGACTAAATTTTGAATGAATAAATACATATTTTTTGGACAGGTGCGGGGCCAGAAGATATCTTCCAAATTCTTACTGCTACAAAGTTCTAATGATCTCGACAGGTTTTCCGCATTGATGAAAATAACGGGTAGATTTGTACACGTAAAAAATGCTGATTTCCACCTTGTTGGGACCCGATCAGCCTGGATTTCTTCGGGAAATTGGGTTGGGCGCGGGCTTCGAAGGGTTTTACCCGGATATTCTGAGTCTGGAATTTATTCCGTTTGGGCGCGAAAGTGGGACACTTTGCTCAAGAGGAGCGGGCAATATTTTTTGAGGGGGAAGATTCAAAAATTAAAGGGACATGGGGACGATGGGGGGCAAAAAGCGTTGTCCTGGGGACAGGTGAGGTTAAGCTTTATTCTGCTTGCGGTTGGAGGAGGGATTGCAGGGGTTGTCCAGTTTTTTGAAGTTGCGTGGTTTGTTAATATGGAGAAATATATTTATAATGAATAAAGGAATTTTATTGTCGATCTGTTAAAATTGTACGATTACATTGGGACCAAATTTATTTTTGTACAAAAAAGTTAACTTTTTGACCAATGAAAGATAGTTAAACTCTACTTTGTATCAACCCAAGTCATGCTCGTATTTTTAAAGTTTCTCACGATCAACAGGTTTAATTTAGTTGTTAGTATAAAAGAAGTATGTACTTTATTTCCAAATTTTTGATTTTCATTTAAATAATGAGGTTGCTCAAGACAAGACAACATGGAAATTTTTTTAGAAAACTTGCGAACCAATGAGTGCATATTTGTGTCGTGGCGGACTTCTCCAAACATATGTCTGTAAGACCTTCCCAAATTTCGAAAATCTTGTAAAAATATCTATTTTGATGATATATATTTCAATAGATTTCTTTAATTGATCTAGCTATCGAAGGTGACCTTACGAACTAACTTTGCGAAATAAAAATATGCCATCTTGCTGAATAAAGTCACACAAAAAAAATTCATTGATCTCCAGCGAAAGTTTTGCCAAATCAGGTAAAACAATTTGGTCAATTTTGGACATGTATAAATATGTATGTGAGATATGCTAAATTTAATTTTACAAAGTAATTATTTATTTCATACCAGAGCTTTAATTTCTTACAATTTTTATTTCATAATTGTTGGTATACAAAAATTCAATTAAATTGTATACGTTGTTAACATTTTTTTTAAAAGAAACCCGTCTCAGTTTAATAATTTCTGCGATACTTGTTCTCCACGTTCTGATGTCTCCTCTGAGGTAGCAGGTTGAGATGAAAAAATATATACACGAGGAGTAAAATGATAATGATTAGCATTTCGAATGAAGGAAATCTCAGCTATGAAAATTTTGACGAAAAATTGATACAATTTTATGTAAGATAACGAGACTTAACGTGTCAATCGGGACATTAGCTTGTTTGAGTTTTTTATGAAATTTTGTAAGAACTCGATTAAAAAGCTGTTTGTGTGCCTGACAGAGTTCCAAACTCGGCGAAATTCGTGGAACTGAAGATTTTCGAGATATCTAAATGGCCGAGATTTAATTCGGCACGATTATTTATGTTGGAATCCGACACAAATTTCCCAACATTAACAATCCGACTTTTTAGCAACTATTTTACAATGTGTCAGTAATAATAAAAATTACCTCAAAGCTTTCACCGTTTTTGAGATGTAGGTTTTCAAATATTTACCGTAGAAATCTGGGCGAATTAAATCAACACCTTTAAGTTTGTCAGATAGACTTTAATTAAATGATTTTCGCCAAAAGTATCCCGATGCTCTTGTTGTAAGAATATTTATGTATGTAGAACTGGGTAAATACCTAGCTATGTAACGTCGGAATGGAGTTCAACCATCTGCATAGAGATCTATAAAACCTTTATTGGTATGTACATAAATACGGTTAACTGTTTAACTTTTAAAAATGAAATTGGTAGAATTATTTTCGTACAATATGCACGTACACATTTTCATGTTCTTTCATGGCGTGTGTAGTTGATCGGTTTAACTTGTACGTACATAAAATTGAGGAATTTAGTCCAATTATTCTCATAAAACGTTCTGTCCTCCTTGTCACGCAGGTAAATAAATATGCCCAACCGATGAAATGTTGATGAACATGGCGTCTAACTAGTCAGTTTATACATGCTCTGATAGAGCGTTTAAGCCAAAGAAATATAATTGTACGGAATTAAATTGATTGCATATTTATTATCGTGAATGGAAATAATACGATCAAAAATAATGCTAAACTGTTACAACTTTAGAGAAATTTAGGAAAGTGTGGCGATAATTAGTAGTGATTAAGTCCAAATTTTGGAGCGATGTGACAATACTGGTGGAACTTGGATGTGTGAAAGTTATAGCTAAATTTCCGTCACGCCAGGCTTATGAGCTTGGAAGATTCATCCCCGGTGTATGTACATTGCTTGTATCATACATATTTACAAATTTTTTTCCCAGTTTTTCCTGAGGGTGTGGTTGCATATAATTCCAAAATAGCTACATCGATCCCTCACCCCGGAATTCAAATTGCAATTTTTTTTTATTAAAATCCATGATATTGATGCGAAACGGAACGACAACCTTACATAGTGATTGACCCTTGTAGAGCATTTGTGATTTATGTATTTACATATCGGATATGAATGAAATATGACTTTTTGCACCAACAGTCCTCATACTTGCTAAGAATGTTCCCGGTTATTAGTAGGTCACGGAAGTTTAAGCCTATTTTTTCATATTGGTCATATTTTCAGGTTTTCGGACATATTCATATTCTCCATCATATTTGGGCTATTTTCGTTCATTTTATGACTTGGCCAAATTCCAAGATTTATATACCACATTGCCAGAAAACTAAAAAAAAATTGTCATTGTCTGCTCAAAATCTTTGCCTGACGAAGTTCACTGTGAAAGAAAGCTCGCAATAACATATTTCAAGAAAATGTCCACTGATGCGAAAAAAATTAATTCGAAAAAAATGTCTGCTCAAAATGATTCATTCTGAGAAATTGACAGAAATGTATGTACATTCACTATCATATGTATTGGGTGATTTAATTCATTGACAATTAATTAAACTACTCAGAATTTGTTTTATTGATAAAAATAGCCGATCACACAATGCAAAAATTTAAGAAAAGTAGTTTTTAGGGCCATATTTTGGGCATTTATTTTTTATTTATATTTTGAGGTTTTGAGATTATTCATATCCCACGTCTGGTGATCTACTTTCCTTTCTGAAATTGGAGGTCCCATAACGTATGCTCACAGATTTTGACCAAATTAGTGTAAATATGTAGATTACAAACTTAATTAATATGAACTTTTATAAATGACATGACATCCCAACACGCAGCGAATTTGTCAGACACAAATTTGCATCTAAATAGAAGAAAGCGAGCCGTGAAGTTGGATAATTTTACACTTTCCAAATTTACTGGGCATTTTCTCTTCTTCGGATGCAAATACACATTTTTCCCAAACGTGGCCATTGTGAGATAATGTCTTTTGCTAATGTCACGTTAATTAAATTTGTTATCGATTGACACTAATTGGTCAAAACCGAAAAGCGAGATTTCCATTATCACTCGTCTCACGTTGCCCGTTTACGAGCAGCGCCGGCAGAATTTTAAGAACGAGACACAGACCGAAACGTAATCAGCTGCCTGGGTAAGAATTTTTTAAATATTAATTTTGAATTTTTACCAATAATGTTAACTACACTGTAAAAATCTTAATTGTACTCTGATTTTGTGTTATATTTAGGTAATCGGATATCATTTTCCTTACTTCTAGGTAAGTGCAAATTTAAATTTACGATTTTCGTCTATTCCTTATTATAATTAATTCATTTAAGTAATTATCCTTCCATTTTAATTAATTAAATATGTCCACAACAAATTACAGTTGGACGACATGGAGGTCATCGATCCTGCCATCGAGTTGTTGGAAGAGGTCGAATTCCTGACACAAATTGTGTCCCGGAGTCGACAAAGGATTTGTAAAATTGCTCGTCGCTCAGGAGTCAATGTGCAACAGGATCAAATTAACGGTAAAGTTAAGTTAATTGAATATGTAATTGTTGAGAACAGGTAATTTTAATCGCTTTACGTATTTTAATTAATTACAGGTGCGAAAGTCGCGAAACTGTTAAGTTTGCTTGATTCCATTGTGTCCTTGAAATTCAGTCTGGAGCTGCAAAATAACTTTGACCCCGACGACGACGACGGTGACCTTGGTGACGACGAGGTGAAGGGGGAACCTTGCCCTTCGTCTCCTAATTGTGAAGACAACGACGACCAATTTGACCTTGACGACCAACCTGGTAAATGGGACCCTCGTAATAATTACAAAAGTGATGGAGATTTTGGTAATTCAAAATTTAATTAAGGTTCAGAGATACGGCCGCGATTAATTTGTCGTGATAACCGGTTTAAAGCCTTGTACTTAGGACGGATTTTTCACCTGCAGATTCTTTGCCTTGTATTAAATTATTTCTTCACTGGAATTACTTGAATTTCACTATAAAGTGTAGGAAATTGGAGAGTTTCTTGAAATCAATTGGGAAATTTTACTTTAGTTTCTTATTCTCGTTTTTGTTAAACTTATTCGTGTGAAAAATCCGTCTAGTGTTAAGCTTTTAAGGATTCATAATCCTTAATCCCAGGATAAAAACAAAGTCTATTACGTATTTAGTTTAATAAAATCATGATTTCTAGAATCCGGAGCTTATCGGATGGACACGCCGCCTAGCCAAGTGGTAATTTAACTAATTGAAAGTCATAAAATAGATTATTTATGTTTTAGCGAGTATTTAAATTTCTTTCTATGATCCAAATTTAGCCCAATTCCGAACCAACAAAGGCCTGGGAATGTTCCATTTGCCTGAAAACTTTCCGAACCAAGACACACCTCAAGAGTTACGTCGTCACGCACGACTCCGATGCAAAAGTTAAATGTGAGGTGAGCGTGCATAAATTTAATTTAAAAATATAAAACCAATTTCATTTTGAGACAATTCACGCGGTCCTTGGTAACGTTACAAAATTCGGGAAACCTGAGAAAATTTAAGAAATTTTTTGAAGGAATATTAAGCTAGAAAATTTGTAACCTTGCCGAAATTCAAGGGCAGGGCGTCTCTTTATTTTGCAAAACTTGCCAATTTTACGAAATGCTAAATGAATTGCCTTATTTTTAACGATCCAAATTTTACTTGCCTACAGATATTGCCCTTTTGAAAATAAATGCCGTCTGACTAATATTTGAAGGAAACTTTACTCTTTTTCAAGTTATCGTTACCATGAACTTTACTGAATTTAGAATTCAAACAACTGCATGTACTTTTCAAAATTAGTACATTATTTATAAAAAATATGTTTCTCTTTCGCAGATTTGTGGCAACATTTCGAAAAATCCCATAACTTTTTCCCGTCACGTGCGAACCGTCCATTCCCAGGAACGTCCCTCGTGCGGAATTTGCCACGGAGTCTTCGCGTCACCCGACACGCTGCGAAAACACATTTCTACCGTGCACAGCACTCAAAAACGACCCCGTTTTCCATGTGAATTTCCCGGCTGTGAGAGAACCTATCTGGGGAAATACAACCTGAACAGACACGTGGACATGGATCATTCCGGTCCGATATCCGTGTACCTTTTGTGGAAAGGAATTTAAACGTAGGAACCATCGCGACGTACACCAACTTATTCACACTAATGAAAAGCCGTACAAATGTGGCATTTGTAAGAAAAGTTTCAAAGGCAAGTCTAACATGAAACGACACGAGGTATGTAAATGTCAAAAAATACATGCATTTACACGAAAATCGTCAAAACCAAGACATTTTTAATCATTTCTCCCTGTTGGAAATTTGTTTTAAAATTCTGGACGACAAATTAGACAAGTTAATCAATAAAAGGAGGACGAGTTTTCTAAGAGAGTTTCGATGAGTTTCAACTTTTCTGAGATCATTCAAAAACTTTCAAAATTTGGAGTGTATTTTTTTAATTGGCAACGACCTGCTCTACAAATTTGTCCTCCAGAAAATCGTTAGATCCGAGAAGTGATTTATGGAAAATGTGCTGATTTGGACGAATTTTGTGATGATTCCTACATACCTTAAAGAATTTATATATTTTACAGGTAACGCATTTAAGGAAATATGACCGAGGCATTTTCTATGATTACGTGTAACAAATGCATGCGTAATGTAATCTGTAATGTGTCATGAAAACAATTTGACTACGTAAACATTTATTTTTCATTACGTATTTCTAAATATATATTTAAATGACAATAGAAAATTAATTTAATGACAATAAATACTTGGATTAGGTTGCCAAGTTTCAACTTTGCACAAATTTTGTAACTTTAAGTTCATTCTGCATAACTGAAATAGCGATATATGTATATATGTAGTTCAAATATATAAAATTATAACTGTCATGGAATTTATCAAGGTTAAAATATCCTTGCTAAATTTTGGCAAAGTTTCAACTCTTTTTTTTACTTTTTTTACCATCTTTGAATACTTTTTTGCTCTGTTGCCTTCTGTTTTTAACACCGCACTCAAAACAAAACGGTGTCAATATATGACTTAACCGCCTTGGTTACAATTGTGATTCCGAGTAGTAATGAATTTTTTCCGTCCGGTAATAACATTATAACTACCGGTATCAAAATCATCATAACTCGGATTCAACATTGTAACCAAGGCGGTTAAGTCATATATTGACACCGGCGGTGTTGATCCGACAAATTTTTATTTTGAGTGCGGGTTTGGGGCCAGCACTACCCGCCTACATTTTTTTCATATTTTGCATCAATGTATCAGATTTAACATTTTGCAAGTGCATAACTTGCATCATTGACATAGATTTAGATACTATCCTCGTATCTAAGCTAGGCACCTCATTTGCATATTTTGACGCATTCGCGAGAGACACTGTTTATTCAACATGGAAAGTCCGTATCGCCGAAAATTGACCTGGGGAGATTTATGCAAATGAGATGTTAAGCCCAGGTATGAGGATAGTAATTATTTAATAATAGGATTACACGGAATTTTAGTGGATAAACCGGGAAAAAATTGTCTTATTTTTCAATATTTCGGATGCCATTTGCCATTTGTCATTCATTATCAAGACATGCGTGCATACAATGTAGAAAATAATTAGAAATTTGTCACAAAGAGTTTTGAAAAAATTAAAGTTAGTGGTTAAGGTTTAGGTAGACATTCAGAAAAAAGTGTTGTCGTGCCTTCGGTATTATGGATACTGGGGTCGAGTTTTGATAAAAGTGATAAAATAAATACACAAATGTATTACAATTATTTTACAAAATTAGTTGCTAACTTGGAAATAATATAAAGTTGATTTAATTCCATTATACATATGTGACTTTTGTGTAATGCGTATCATATATTGTGGTACTTTAAAAAATATACCAATTCGAACAATTCGAACTCGCTGTTCTTATAAGCGTATGAAAATTATAAAATCGACAGGGAAAACCTTTTGGGACACCCTCTACGATTTTCCACCATTCGTTAACTGTTTATAATTTTAGACTTGTAGTTAGCTCTATTACGAGTATTTATTGTGCACTTACAAGGGACACTCACGACCTGTCGTTTGAGTCCAGGGTACCCACCATGTTTTTTAGAATCTACTAGGGCCCCAGATGAAGGATTCATTCATATTTCCGTGTAAAACTCATATTTGGCGTCGTGTAGTGGCGCCAAATTCGCCAAATTTGAATGTTTTTATTTTTGAAACCGCCATAACTTTTGAAACCCTGGACGGATTTTCAAAAGTTTTGGCACAAATCAGGACAAGGAGTTCAACTATCTTATCCCATGAATTTTTTTCCGAAATTATCGCTTTTAACTTTTCGCAAACTTTCGTAATTTTCTTAGAAATGGGGGTTCGTCGAAAAAGGTGCTAAAAACATTTCAAAACTTAGTAATTTGTTATTTTGTATTTTTCTCAAAAATTTCGACTTTGTGATCAGTGTTTCGCTTGGCAATAACCGGATTGGCCAGACCGCCGGTCAAAAGCGGCCAAAAGTGGCTTTTGACCACTTACCAAAATAGGTGGCAATTGGTCAAAAGTGGCCAAAATGCAAAAATGGGGCATTCTGCGACAAGGAATAATGATAAGTTAATGATTTTACTAAGGACATTCAGGATTTCATCAGGATCTAGCAGAACAAGGCTACTTATCGCTGTTTGATTGGATCTAAAATTTTAAAATTGGTCACGCTACAAATAAGCAATAAATTACAAATGGCATCATTAATAATTGACACAGGAACAATTAATAATTGACAGGAATAGTTACGACTTGACCAATGGGCCATTAAAATATTCAAGTATCAAGCAAAGGTATACATTACGTACTATATTTGTCCAAGTTGAATTTATTAGATTGGTAATTATTACAGACTATTTTAATTACTTTGTAAGAACTATGATTATTCTTTGTGCAAAGAATAAATAATACCGGCCGAGAGTCTGTTTAAACCCGCCGCGCAGACCATTAGCCAATAGAATACTTTTGACCACTTTTGACCACTTTCTACCATTTTGGCCATTTTCGACCACTTTTGACCACTTTTTACCACTGGCCAACAAAAAACGATTTTAGCCGGCAAAAGCGAAACACTGTTTGTGATCATTGTAAGCATAAAATTTTGAAAATCCGACATACACTTTAAAAGTTATGGAGGTTTAAAATTGCTCGAAAATGCAAATTTTTAAGTTTGGCGCCACGCCATGGCGCCAAATTTGAGTTTCACACGGAAATATGGATGAATCCTTCATCAGCGGTCCCAGTAGATTCTAAAAAACATAGTGGGTACCCTGGACTCAAACGACAGGTCGTGAGTGTCCCTTGTTAGCTGGTTTTAAAATTAAGCGTTGAATGCACTTAAATGTAACTCTTTTTAATAGAATTAGTACGACAATATGCATTTATTTAACTTTTTTTATTACTGATTTATTACCTTAGTGAATCATAAATATGTGACAAAGTGTTGCAATTTGTGAATCCAAGAATAACACTCCAAATTAAAACAGTAAAATTGCTACATCAAGTGGAATAATCAAGAAACGGTCGATTTAAGCTGTAATTTCTTCATTAAATTTTGTTATGTATGTAGACAAATTGGAAAGGATACACAGCATTATGAATTAAACAATTAGTGTAAGCTTCACTACAACAGCCGCAATGATAAGGGCGAAGGTTAGCTTTAAATTGTGATTGATGTAGGCCTTGTCAACGATAATGATTACTGCAAAAAGCCCGCCAAGTACGAAGACTACCATGTAGTTATTCCTTAGCTCGGCATTTTTAAGTTTTTCCGAGTACATGAGCTTCTCGATATTTCTAAGGTTCTCTAAATTCCTTAAGTTCTCATCATTCCTAAGGTTCTCAACTTTTCTCAGCTCGTCGGAAATTTTTAAGTTGTCCGCAAATTTTCGATCTTCGATCCTTTGGAGTTCCTCGGCTTTTCGGAGTTCTTCGGCCTTTCGGAGTTCCTCAGCTTTTCGGAGTTCTTCGGCCTTTCGGAGTTCCTCAGCTTTTCGGAGTTCCTCGGCTTTTCGGAGTTCTTCGGCCTTCTTCTTCTCCTCGGCATTAATTTTGACACGGAGCAATTTTAACTCAAGCATTGCACTATCCATTTCGATTTCCATTTCCATCAAGTTGATCTCATACTTGTACAATTTTTCCATTAAGCGATTCAACTTGACAATATGATCCTTGACCTCGTTCTCACTCATTTTGTACTTATATGAAAAATATCCGGCGATAAGAGTAACTGGGATTGTGACAGGCGCAGCGCCAAACGTAGCCAAAACGCCTAGCGAGGCAACTCCTGTAAGGGCTGTGTTGACATGGTTTTTATGGAATTGATCCTTTAACTGTTTTGAATTAGATATGTCCTTCTTCAGCTTGTGAAATAGTGAGGCTGTAGAGAATTTATATAGATGCTTATTAAAGTTCATGTATGTATAAGTTAGAATTTTGAGCTTATTGTTCCATTCAAAATGGAACTAAAATAAATAAAATAACACGTTTTCTCATGGATAAAAAATCGCAATTTGAATACGTGGATGAAGGTAAAGTTCTGATACAAAATTGAGTTTTACAGCAACAGCAAGTTAAATTAGATATGTAGCAAATTGCTCAATTTACCCATCTTTTCTTTTGCATCTTTTGCAAGGCCAAACGTGTTATTCATAAATGATAGTAGAATATCTATGTCTTCCGTGGTGGTTGAAATAGTGAATCTTGCCATTTTTTCTTTAACCTTGTCCAACGTATTTCGAATTCTTCTCAGAATATAATCGATTTCTTTGGTGTCCTGTTGTAGGGACCGTAACCTGCCCGTGATTTCCTCCATGGTTTCTAGCAATCGGTGCATTTCCTGTTTGTGATAGGTCGTGTATCCCATGGCGATAGCACCACCGACAAAAGTTTGAAGTCCAATGAGCAACTTTGGGGTTGCAATGGAATTGGAAAGTTTCGACACAATGTTTTCCGGCCGGGCCATTGTTTGAACTGTATAATTTATGAAATTTATGAAATTTCATAAAATTTAATCTCGAGTAACTTGTAACATCAGAATGTGCTTATGGAATAAATTATTCCTAATTAGCCTCTAATCCTTTTCAAAGACGGGCTGACGTCGCTATGAAATTTTTTAACCTTGTAAAGGATTTTTTATGGATGTTGTAGTAAAAAAAAAACGGGGGGTTTAAAGTCCGTATATAGCACACAATGGCTCTGACAGACTATGAGCAAGATAGGTAGGATAGGGTGAGTTTAACTAGGTAGGTATGGGTGAACTCCATTCGGACAGGTACAGTGCACATCTACTAACGTAGAGTGCAAATCCCTGGGCTGAAGGAAACACGAACACAGACAGTCAGCATGTACCGTACCGGGGTCCGGAATCCAGGTAGGAGCCAGCCTTAGCCTTATACAGGCGCTGGCTATCCCCAAGAGGACATCCATCCAGTACGCTGAATGCTGGTTCCAAAAACTCCAGCCTTCACCCTGTTTCGACCCACCACCGTGAGAGGATAGAGATGAATGCTTCTGCCTCCTGGCAGGGCCTCTAACCACTCTGCCATGGTGCCGGGTCTTTGGATGTTGTAGTAACGTTTAAACGTTTCTAATAAATTTTCCAATGTTGCTAATGAACTTTTTTTGAAAAATCGTTTCAATTGTGACTTGTGGAGATAAATATAATGATGAACAGCCAATCAGAAAGCAGGAATGTCAATTAAACGGGACACACTTTTCGAAATCTATATTATAAGCTGGAAATGTGTCCACAAAGGAAATGAAAGCAGGCGAAATTTCATTTGCAACAACGCCCAAATTTTATCGCGTCTCTTTTACCTTCAGATATCTCAATTTTACATTTTGACCGCTGAACAGCAATATGACAACCCACTGACCCTGTAGGTCAAAAACATAGGACAAACGCCCCCCCCCCCCACGGGAGGCGGGCTTATACGCTAGTTATAATATAGACTGTACAGAAATATGTGTATGTATTAGGGCATGTAATATCGATCTCGGTTTCGGTATTTCGGTATTTCGGTATTCAATATTCAAATACCGAAATATCGATATTTCAATATTACAATACCGAAATTGGCATTTTGCAATTTATGAATTTATTTAATTAATATAGCACTTTCGAATCAACGTAACCCATTGGAATTCAAACTTTGGGGTGTAACCAGGTCAAAAATCAATTTTTGAAACATTGGGGGTGTAACCAACTCAAGATTTAGAAATATTAATATTGAATTTTGACTTAGCCATAGCTCTACCTAAAGCTTATACTTTGGGGGTGTAACCAAGTCAAAATTAAGTTGTGGGAACTTTGGGGGTGTAACCAGGTCAAAATTCAGTTTTGGGAAGTTTGGGGGTTTAACCAAGTCGAAAATTCGATTTTGGGAACTTTTGGGGTGTAACCAGGTCAAAATTCAGTTTTGGGAAGTTTGGGGGTTTAACCAAGTCAAAATTCCATTTTGGGAACTTTGGGGGTGTAACCAACTCAAAATTCGATTTTAGGAACTTTGGGGGTGGAACCAAGTCAAAATTCGATTTTGGGAACTTTCGGGGTGTAACCAAGTCAAAATTCGATTTTGGAAACTTTGGGGGTGTAACCAAGTCAAAATTCGATTTTAGGAACTTTGGGGGTGTAACCAAGTCAATATTCGATTTTAGGAACTTTGGGGGTGTAACCAAGTCAAAATTCGATTTTGGGAACTTTGGCGGTGTAACCTAATCGAAAATTCAGTTTTGGCAACTTTGGGGGTGTAACCAAGTCAAAATTAAGTTGTGGGAACTTTGGGGGTGTAACCTAGTCAAAAATTCAGTAGTGGGAACTTTGGGGGTGTAACCTGGTCAAAAATTCAGTTGTGGGAAGTTTGGGGGTGTAACGAATTCAAAATTCGATTTTGGGAATTTTGGGGTGTGACCAAACCGAGAATAAATTTAGGAACTTTGGGGGTGTGACCAATTCGAAATTCAATTTGGGAAAATTGTAAGGTGTACCCAAGTCAAAATTTAATTTTAGAAGCTTTAGGTAGAGCTATGGCCAAGTCCAAATTCGATATTATTATTTATAAATTTTGAGTTGGTTACACCCCCTATGTTTCAAAAATTGATTTTTGACCTGGTTACACCCCAAAGTTTAAATTCGAAAGGGTTGCGTTAGTTCGAAAGGGTTATTTTAATTAAATAAATTCATAAATTGCAAGATTCCAATTTCGGTATTGTAATATCGAAATATCGATATTTCGGTATCTGAATACCGATAATTTCGGTATTAAAATACCGAAATATCGGTATTTCGAGATCTCGAAATATCGAGATTACATGCCCTAGTATGTATTGTAGTCAGATACCTCCATTAAATATGACTTGATTCACAACCAATTGCACATTATTGCCAAATCCTTGAACGTTTTGGAGTAAATCGTCCGGGAAATATTTTCCATTCAACACTCCGTCTGGCCCGAGACGATTCAATAATTCCGGGCCCAACAGTGTGGAAGAAAATTTGACTTGGAATTGAATTTTGAAAAATGGTTTAAAATATTATTTTTTATTTACTTCGCCAATGGTTGAAATGATGTTCGGTATTCCTCCACAATTGACGAATCCAACTTGCAAATTTAGCAAGGACACGGTGACGAAAATCTTTATAATCTTGGAAACATGTGTGAATTAATTAATCATTTACATTAAACAGAAAGAAGGAGGTTGCACTGTTATAAATCTAGTATTAAAATAATACCAAGAGATATTAATACATATATGACTCAACCAAAGTGGTATTGATGAGTAATACTTGTTAATTGGTATTAAAGTTGTATACTATCGATAGCTGATTTTTATGGACCCGTATAATTTAATCGCAAGCGGTAGCTATTTTAATACCGAGAAATCAGTTCAGCGTATATTTTTTTAAATTTATGTATTACCTGGAATAACGACTTCATTTTGTGGAGTGGATTTTTTTGCGACTTGGAAGATGGAAAGGAGTGAAACGTTTGCAAGGATTTTATTCGCGTTTTATTTCATCATTGCCTACGTGGCGTTTGCTCGGCTGATAAGAGGATTGTGTGCTTATCTGTACTTTATAAGGATCTACATTGCATTACTTAGATAACCTAATGGACTGCGGCTTAAAATGGGGTATACGTAATCGGTCATTTTCTTTGGTATGGGAACATCCATAAAAATGTGGGTTAAAAGTTTTGGACCCCCTACAAATTTATCATGGTTAACATGAGTAGGTTTGGGAAGGGGTCTAAATTCGGTGCTCTTTTATTAGGCTTGTAGCATATGGACGGTTTCTAATAATATGACTGTGAATTGCTTGGTTGATAAGAAAATTGTGCACTTATGTTGGATTAAAGCGATAATGGTCTACATACGAAGTAAAACGTTTATTCGATTTATTTTGGATAACTTACCTCAAGTAGAAAACATTTCATGAACGATTTGAAGTACAATTCATTTGATTTATTTTGTTTCCTTATTTATTTTTATGTTGCAAACACAAAAACTTGATAAAGTAGATAAATATCTGTCTGGCTACGAAAAGATAAATTTTACATGTATATTTTACATGTACGCATTTGTATATGTGCATACACAGCTATGAAAGCTGGTAAATAAGTAATTATGGTTAGTACATTTTTATTTAGCTGAAAACTCATTTCTTCCTCAAATTTACTGGCACAAAATTGAGCGGATAGATTGTCATCAAATGGTGCATTTAAAACATTGACGTAAAAACAGACCGACAAACGATAAATATCGTGCTAAACATGGTCAAAAATTGTGTATCCAAATATGCTATCACGAAATAATGAGTACACAGTCCAAGCTTGCGGAAAGGGCAAAATTTAAATTAACAAACAATATTACTTACGCTACCACCCTTAGTATTTATAACTTTATAATTTGACAGGAAAGTGCTCACTAGATTTTTGTCTGAAGGGAAAATGTTTTCGAATCATTGTCCTGCTATCAAAGTTGTGTATATTTAAATCTAAAATGTTTCTGAAATCTACCTTCGTGACGATATTTATAACAATTGTGTTCCCAATATTCGCCATGATTAACATCCCCACGGGAAATTTCGGATACTTTGGCAACTGTGCAATAAAATTCTTAAGATTGAGCGATAATTTTATATACTTCGATCTAACAGAGCACCTCATCCACATCAACAATCCAGCCAGTCTTATCTACACGGTCAGTGGGTTACCCAACTTCTCCAACATATCGATTCAAGACGAGAAGATGGCGGGTGACTTTAAATTCTATGAGGTCTGCACGATCACCATTTTTGTCAAATTTGGCCCTGAGGATAACCAGTTTCGCCGAGATTACATATATTTTACTCGAGACGGTCATAGGGGCTTGCCATTTTCTACATTTATCATAATTTCTCAACTTCCCACACCAAACTTTATATCCTTCGAGCATAGGTTCGACTACCGCGTGCCTTTCAGAACTTTTGTTGTACATTTAAAAATACGGGGCACATCCCGAACTTTGTACTCCTTCTTGAAATGCAATGGTTTTTTGTGTGTACCCTCTGTAAACAGAATTTAGTCCTTGTTAGCTACACCCCAAACATTAAAACGTTAACAGTAATGAAATTCCAGATACACGGGTGGAGAACCAACGTTTCAATCGCGGCCATTTTACCAAACAAGTTTGTAGAAGGTGGGATTTGTGGCAAAGGGCAATACTACATTTCACTACTTGGGGTTTCTTGCCCCACTGCTGAGAAGCAGTATCTGGCGATTAGTGAGAGCTTAAATGTAACCTTTGTCCAACTTCTGGACTCTAAGTGGGAAGCGCATAACTGGGGCTATTTGTACCCGGCCTTAAAACATAGTATAGGCTATTATTATCACCACCTGCATAGGTTGTATTCATTCCGGTACGAGGGGTATCACGCGATATACTGTAACTTCAATGTATGGTCTGAAAATTCCGATTTGGTCGTATGGGTGTCACCACTTGCCCCCGAGGTGTTTTTGGGTTGCGGTCTAATGGTAATGATTGTAATAATCCTTGGAATTTTGCAGACTTTGACTAAACCTGAAAAAACTCATATGAACTTTATGTTGTTAAAAAATGTGGGTGAAGTGACATTTACAATTTATGCGAGGTTTTTTAAGGAATCGTCTGTTAATAATTATGTCCCAAGATGGATCTTGGCTTCTTTGTTTTTCGCAAGTTTTATGCTACTTGCACAGTATGAATTATTCTTGACGGCTAATCTTGTGATGCCACCGCGTTATGAGGCATTTCGCACCCTTAGCGAAATTTTTGCAAACGATTATACCCTGGTCTACATCTCCAAGGAGGCTCACAATATGGCTTCTGTCCGGTCTGTCTTGCAAAACGAGTTTGCTCGAAAGTCGTTGGGCGATTTACCGCATAATAAAACCATAGTGATAAGATAGGTAATAATAACCAGAAGTATTGCTCAACATAAGCCGACTATTACATTTCCAGCTTAATTTCACGAAATTAAAATTTTAGACTGCGTAGTTTAGGTCAAGGTCAATTGGTCGATTAAGTTGAGCCCTTTCAAAGAATGACAAAAGACTACCCGTTCAAATGTCTCATTGCGAAATAACCTGTCGGGGATATGAGTTTATGCCCTTATCAAATAAAATATTCAATTAAAATGGAATTTCTCCACTGAGCTCCAATAAAGAGCTCTAGGATAGTGCAGAGATAACTGACAAAACTTATTTCTTATCGACATTCAGACAAATTAATCGACAACTAATTGTATCTGCCTCAATTGCTGAAGGGGTATTCCCTTCTAAAAACTAGTGAAAGGCACGCACACTAAGAATCACACACGTACTATCTTTAAGAGAAGGAAGTTAAATAACAAGAAATAAGAATTTCGGTCATCAAAAAAATATATTTTACGTAAAATGGGTTACATATGGTTCCTATTCCCGCAATAGTAGAGCTAAATTAAATACACGATTAATAATCTTAATTCCTTAATTATCAGGAACTGGAAGAATATTACCGCCTATATTGGGAAACATATTCCAAGAAATATCGTCCTAAGCAACAATCAGGCCGAAGCATCTCTGTTTCTTCTCTACATTCAGAAACAACTCCTCAATGGGCAGTATAAGTGTTTTGTAATTAATAACATCGCCCTAAACGACGGTTATTTCGCCATTGCTGACACCATGCTGAGAGTTGAGATTGGACAGAATATCGATGCTTTGGCTCGGGCAGGGTTCCAAAGTTTGTGGGCGCGGCAATTAAAACATTCGCATCAGTTAACTGCAATGAGGTGGCCGTTAATGACAGTGGGCAAATCTGATATTTCTATGAATATGCTGTCACCCTTCTTTAACGCTGTGGGAATAACAATGATCCTGATTGGAGTACTTTTTACAGCAGAGGCAATGTCCCATGAAAGAATTAGGGAGCTATGGTGGATCTATGTGAAAGATTTTGGATGCTATTTCCGTGTTGGATTTAGAAAAATGTACTTCAAAAGGAAGACAGTGAGGTGTAAGGAAAGACGGGGGAAATCTACAACTAAATAAGTAGCTACTATATATTCATGTATGTACACTCTTAGCAAAACGGTATTGAATCATCACCAAACGGGGAGCCCACACGACTTAACCAAATTGTGATAATATTTACCCCACATTGTGATAAATCTTCCCCACAATGTGTTAAATCCTCACTATCCAGTGTTACGTTTACACATTGTTGGGAAGATTTATCACAATGTGGGGTAAATATTATCACAATTTGGTTAAGTCATGTGGGCTCCCCGTTTGGTGATGATTCAAATTGATTCAATACCGTTTTGCTAAGAGTATACTTCGTAAATATGAATATATGAAGGATGTGAATATTGGTAACACGTACATAACAAGAATGGGTTACAAACATTTCCCTCCAAAATCATAACAGTTTTGCGCTATATAATCTTTATTAATATGTTCTCCAATTGTTAATACAAACATTTCAGACACGTTCTTTCTATTTCTTAAATAAATTCCGCACACAAACGGACCTATCCACATCGCAATATTCTCTAACTTCTTGGACATTGCAACCTTGGACGAGGGACCTTAGCTCTCTTCCTGACGAAGTCATTCCGCCAATTGGCTCTTGGGTGTAGTAGCAGTAGCCCGTACCGGTAAAATCTTCTGTAGTTTACAAAGTCCAACGCGACGCTGCCGTCAGAACGAGATATTTCGGGAGAAATCCGAAATTATTTTCGGGTAACATAGTAAAAGTCCGCTCCACCCCTCCGGCTGGATCATGGCCAGGAGTTCCGCTGTAAATTGAGATAGAAGGTAGTTCTGTTTCCGAGGGCCCCTGATGCCTTAACGACAATTTTGTTAAGTTAGATGCTGTATTCAGACAACGCCGGTTCCCAGCGGCTGCAAATACGCCCAATGTGTTTTGGCCGGTGTAATTTGTTTGGTTGTATCCGGTCCAACTAAAGAAATTAAAAAAGTAAATATATTTCTTATCCATCCGAAAGCATACCTGCTAAATTTCATTCATGTGACTGATTATGATAGTGAATGAAAATGAATATCTTGTGACTTGAACGAATATGAATGAAGGATTCAGTCATTTCAGAGGAGTGACTGTGAATTAAAGGATTTTTCATTCCTATCATATTTCACCCTATATGCTTAATACATAGGGTGAGCTAAGAAAGGAAGGCGGATGAAGTGAAATGAAATGAAATGAAATTTGAAAGAACCTGAATGAATGTGAATGAAAATCTTCAGTCAGAAATCGGGATGACCGAACTTTGAATGAATAAAGATTTTTTGAACAGGTTTGTCAAAGTAATTTTTGTCGTAACAAACCGGAAAAATTAAAATCGAGTGAAATACTTCTTGTATACAATGTTGCCCATGTTATATAATATGGGCAACATTTACATAAAAAAAGGCATATCAATTTTTTAAGAATCCTTACCGTCCTTGGTAGCAGATGGATCTCACATACTCCAAATATGGCGCGTGCTCCGTAAGATCGGGCTCTTTAGTTCGAAACACGAGTGAATTCCCGCCGGCGTCACGTTCGTC